GCGGGGCTAGCCTGTCACAAAAAACGTCACCGTTTATTTCGGTGGTTTAAGCACCTTTGTCAGTAACACCACCACCACCCCCCCCCCACGCACACCCGTTCTGACCTCGCCTTAATGAGCTTGCGTTAATTACAAAGAGTTACGAACGGTGCGCTGAGGTGCCAAGCGGGCGGGCGCCCACGGGCGCCCACCCCCGGGGGCAAACCCACCCACGCAGGAACCCCGGCGATCCCCGCTGCTGCTGCTGCTGCTGGAAGAAAAAGAGTAAATCCATCGCCCCACCGCTGCTTTCAAGCGGGGGCACGGCTCAGCTTTGAAAACCTCATTAGAGGGAGGAGTAATTTTTATATTTTTTTTTTAACAGTAAATACTACTACGTCGAAACTGGCTGCTTGAGTTCCTGCTCTCCATCCCAGACCTTTAAGCCCTCACGTAACGCTGACCGGACATCGCGCTTCCATAGGTCTCGGCCATACTCGTACCCTACGACAAGGGTCTCCAAATACAGGAGGAGGAGGATGAACGCGTTTCGCCGAAGCGAAGGACTTCTCCGGTTCAGCGCTTGCAGGAGCACGGCCTAAAAAACGTGTCCAACGGGCACCCGAGAACATACGTGGGTCCAAGTAGCGAGGGAAGCGCGCATCGTTTGAGCATCGCAACAGAGCGGTACCTTCGCTACTGCACTGTGTCTCCTCCACTTTTTTGCCCAAGAGCTCCCAGAAATCATCTGGCAATGGCACACGTGCACTTGTACCACGCTTGCTGGATTCGTCGGGAGGTTATACCCGCACCTCTGCCTCTGCCTTACCCCAGAAGCACTATGGTCAGAGAAAGAGGAAAGCCACTGCAGCGTGAAATTAATCACCCCTTTCCCTCTTTGCAATCTCCACAAATTCTCCTTGATTACACCTTCAGACACCCTTTCCTCTCCCATTTCTTGCATTCCGTCTCTCGGGCCTCTTCTACTCCCTTTCCTATAAAAGGTCTTCCAAAATAAAATTAAAAAAAAGAAAAGCCAACATCTCTCTAATGAACTAAGCAAATTCTTAAATAGGCTTTTATAAAGCTAGTCAAATATTTTTGAAGTTGTGTCACAAGTAACCAAATGTCCAGTGTTTCGCAGCAGCAAAATATGTTCTGTTTGGGATAACATTATTCTCTGCTTTAATGAGATTGTACACACTTCTACCCCTTCAACAGAAAAATAAACCCCAAAACCAAAAAACCCCACAAACCCACCAAAACCCCACCATAGCTAACACTTCTTCAGGCACCAAGGCATTTTTAGGATGATCCTGGAAGCGTGGGTACAGTAGCAGCTCAAAAGAACAGAGGCCATCTTCTACACCACCAAGCACTTCAACTGTCCCAACCTGCAGAAGCGGCTCATGGACACCTCGGTCAGGTGTGAGGAGATCAGATCACCCGGTGGAGGCTCAGGTCTACCTCAAAGAAGAAACCCCTCAGGTGCTTGCTGCTGTGTTCCAGATATTTGGAAATTAACGACCTTTTGTAGTAAAGGCTTGAAATTCAAACATCTACCACAATTGGTACGCTACCATAAGCAAACCGCATAGACACTTTAATGCACGTTTCTGTAACTGCAGATTTAAGCTTCAAATATTGGTAGTAAGTGAGGAATTTCTCTTTTCATAAATAGAAAAAAAATAACTATTGCTTCTAAGCACTTTTGTACAATAACTGACACATGTATTCTTTCTTCATTTTAAATTTATACCGAGAAAAAATGTAAAATGATTAAAATGAAAGCAAATCTTCAAACTCTTAGAAACATTTTTCTTTGCAACTAAGAACTCGATTCTTTTGGATGCAATAAATTTACTAATCAAGGACATGCCAACTGCACAGTGCAAGTGACAAATTTATTTGAAATGGAGGAAACCATTTTTAGTGAATAAGTTTGACTGGGAAAAAAGCCAATATCTGTGTACATTTACATCTACATTCCTGAAAACAGGCGTATCGGTCACACCACCCGTTCAAAACAATTTTCACATCTTTTATTTGGTTTCCCAAACTCAGAAGTTAAGCAGAGGTTAGAGTGATACCAAAGCACACAGGCCCTACCTAAGTCACTGGTAATAACATGATTAACCTCCCGTTTCCTCTTTTTTTCTCGTACCAGCATTAGAAGATAAGGAAGCAGATGCGCCGGCCAGCCAGGACTTCAGGAACACTGCAATACTGCAGTACAAGAACCTGCATAGACCAGGAAAAAAGCAGGAAACTGATTAAGAGTTAACCACGTGGGGGCAAAAAAACAGTAAAGCTAACCAGTAATGTTTTTGTACGTATGGTTTTGCTAACTTTGTGGTAGTAGGCAGCTTACTGTATACTTTATTGGATGGACTGGGCCTGAAGAGTGTATAAAAAGCTTTTACAGTTGCCCAAGACTCATCCTTAACTCTTTGTCCACTTTGTATCATCCCTCTTGTTACTTTCTAGCAGGGCAAGTCAGATTTCCTTGGCAAAACTCACAGTATTTTTTTCCTTTAAGAGCACGGTATTTAAAATACTCATATTTGGAGAAAAGAGGCTGATTTACACTACGTGAAACCAAGAGGATAACAATCATTATGAGCTACTTTACATTTTAAAGCTTATGTTTTCTCTTGTGTAGAAGCATCCAAGTGTAGCAGGAAATGCTGCTAATTACAGGATTGCATAATACAGTAGCATTTTACTCATGTCATAGTTTTTCATGAAGAATTGCATGCCTACAGACTACATGAAACTCCTTTCAGTACTGTGTAACTTATCATTACAGCCAAGCTGACAGAGAAGCTGACAGTTTAAGATAAAGAAACTTCCCTGCCCAACCAACTGTATTTAAGATCAACATTTAAAAAAAAAAAGGCGACACAAGACAGAAACAATTAAGATAACTAAATAAATATTTACTACCTCAAAATGTTAGCTGCTACCAAACAAAAATAGCGTTCTGAGGATCCAAGGACTTTCACTTTCTAATCTAATATTTAAAGAGTATCTATATACACACATATGACATTCCAGTAAGAAAAATCAACAAGGCTCCATTCCTTCATAAAGGTACCTTTTTGCAGACTTTCTAGACTAATACAACACAAGTGATCTATCCTTGCTTTAAAAACAAAAAACAAAAAAAAAAAAGCTGAGCAGTCACTTTTGAGGGGGGGTGTTTTTCAGACTCGCAGGAAAAAAATTACAAAAAAGCTGTTTGACAATGATTAGATGTAGTGTGTTCTAGATGGTGATCAGCACTTAGGTGACAGGAGAGAAACGGGTAAACAAACACTAAAAAAAAAAAAATTACCTAGGTTACTCATGGGTAACACACCAGACCTAACCTCTCACTCTGTCCTGAGCCTTTCCTTTCAAAGGTAGGAAAAATGCACTACACGCTCCCTTTGTCCTCCTCATGTTTTGTCAGTCTTTGTGTGCAGAGGTGTCACCGCAGCCTTCGCTTTTCAGACAGCGTCACTGAGCACCAAAATAAAATTGATTGCATCTTGGTTGCTGGGTACAACTGGCAGGCTTCAGTCAGAATGACTGCTCCAATTCCACAAAGTAAGCCACGATTTTCCAAGACTTTTTTTTTTTTTTGCATATAAACATCATCAAGACTCAGAGACGCACCCGCCAGTAACATTTACAGCTATCTGTTCAAAGCAGCCTTTCAGCTAGCATGTGATACTCCCATTCGTATGACAGACTGCTGCAGACAATGAAGTAGCCTCCTGTTCTCCTGGCAGCAGCACTCCAAAACCCTACCACTACCTTCCCACCTTGCAAGAGCAACCACCACCACCGAGGGTGATTTTTTTCAATTACTGCTGGACAGTCCTACAGCATGCTCTGAAAGTATAAAATTGGAATCACAACGGTATCTTAATTAAATGATACAAGCTTATTTTCTTTACTCGGCACTGCACGTAGAAAAACATGAAAGCAATATCACTGTTTGTCATGTGAAGCTTTTATCTTGCACTGTAGATTAACTACTCTTCTTGTGCTACAGTACTAGTAGGAATAAAAAGGATTACAGGGTGACAGTGAGATGCATTTTGAATTCCTGTTAACAAGAAAGAAAAAAACTGACATCAAACTGTTTTTTCAGGATTTTTATTGAAAAACGTTAAAACCAAAAAATGATCAAGGCCAGTTCTACAATAAATTTAAGACATACAGAATGGCTTACCTGCTATTTGGATTTAGTGCAGGAACCTTATTCCAGTATTTTTCTCATGCAATTGCTGGATTAAAAATCACATTCTCATTTAACATCAAACTGGATTATTAATAATGCTTTCTTAGGATTTAACCTTAAAATCTGATTTTAAAAGTCAATTTTCCAAAGGTTAAAAACATTTACACAGCAAGACTTCCGCCTTCACAGGCCAGGTAATAGCTTTCTGTGTCTGATAACTGGCAGAAATAGACCACAGAGCTCATTTTTCCTTTTTGTTATTCTAACCTGAGAAATTTCTTAAATCCTTCTTACTGGGCTTTCATATTTGGCAACATTACTTTAGTTACATAGAAAAGTGTGATTTCTCATTCTTGTCAGAGACGAGTCTTTCACTACTTATCCCAAAAGACAGTCTCACAAACAGGAGTTACATTAGCATCAATCTGCTTCTGTGAATAGTACGCCCTTTTGGCAAGTTAAACCTTGTTAGTAATATCATCAGAACACTAACCTCAGGATGTCAAGTTCCCATCAGTTGTGTAATTCCTAGTATTGTGCGCTTTGAAAATATTTACTTTGGCATGTTATACTTCGTAGCTTAGAGAAGTTGATTTTTTTTTGCACTTACTCCCTGCCTTGCAATATCTGTCTTTTCTCTCTCTTCCATTTATTCAAGCCCTTTCCCTTGCCACCAGTTATCTCCCTTTCTCGTAGCTGCAACAGAAACAGGACACAAAGCACACAAACACATTTAAAATGTGAGATCTAAAAAAGCTGGTGAACAGCAACAATGGTCTTGTAAAACACTCTTAGTTGATGAATGAGCTTGTAAAACATAAATCCCATAAATCTTTTAGTATAGCATTCAAGCCTTCAATTTTAAATTTGGGAGCTTACTTATATTTGATTTCAAACTTCCAACATTGTTTCACTATATTTAAATGTGATACTCACTTCACGTTTGCTCCCAATACATATAAAAGCAACACTGTCTAAAATTATGAAAAAACACTTGAAACAAGCAATTTAACTTCCAACGGAAGATAACTTCCTTTGCATTTTCAGTACATTTGTATGTTAAATAATTTGGGTTATTACAAATCGTTGCACTTCAGTTTTACCTGAACTTATCTGATTTTCAAGTGAACCATTATTTCCTCCCAGGTACTAGTCCTGTCTGCCAGACTAAAATTCAAGAGAATATATTTATATAAACTGAACTTTGTTTGCTTCATACTCTGCCTATTGAAAACCATTACACTAACAACAGAGATCAATGAAGTGGTTGATTTGAAAGGTGTAAAAATCACATATCGTGAAAAATGGCTGGGTTTTTCTGTTTGTTTTTGTGTAACCCTGGTCATTACTGTACTAAAATTAATATTGAAGTGTTTCAGTTTTCAACTTCTCTGCAAAGTAACTTTAAAAGAATGTTACAGGAGATTACCACAAAATCAGACGTGAACAGATACCGTATACAGCTGATGCATGACAACCTTTCATTCTGCTGTAATTTATTGGCATTTTTGATCCCGAAAGAAGAAACAACTTTGGATATTCTTAAATGCGTTCATAATTTTTTTTTCATCCAATTAAAAAAAACAGTGTTGAAAAATAAGGAGCTAACAGAACTGTTTTGATAACCCTTTGTCTCACATACATTTTAAATATTACACAGTGAAACTATTTTGCATATCCGCACTGAGTGCACTTTAAAAAGGACCTCTGCTGAAATGTTTCCAACAGGTCTT